AGAAGATAAGCTTTTTAATGGGCTCTTTGTCTGACCCGAAATTGCCTCTTTTTGGGCTATCATTTAACCAAATAGGTGACCCACCTACTTGTCACCTAGCAGCTTGTGCAGTATCGCAAAAATGTCTATATCTCCCTACTCCAATGTCGTGTTGATAAAAGGTTTAATGAGTTGGAAACTAGACTCATAGATCTTCAATTTGGTGGGTAGATCACCCCGTAATTCCAAGTATATTGGGAGAAAAGCTTAATAACATTTGACCTAAAGTTTAAGTAAAACTATGAACTTAAGTTGCAACAACTCTTGTCGACTTTTGTTTCATAACTCGTTTGACTTCAAGACTATGATACGGATATTTTATGATTCATATAACTTAAAATACGACCTCTTGAGAGTATTAAGCACCCCTAGGTTTACCCAAAAATACGGCTGACAACATCCTTTATTCGTTTAACTTCTAATACTTGTTAACCACCCTTATACACCTTTGTATCATTTAAGACCAATAGGATTAATCTCTTATCATCTCAAAGATAATCTCTTCATGGATTTACGTCGACGACCTTATGGCATGAACTAACGTATGTGAATATGGGTTGTAACAGCAGTAGGGTAAGAATGTAGCTTATGCTTCTAGACAACTAAGAAAGCACGAGAAGAATTACCCGACCCACGATTTAGAATTAGCCGCAGTAATTCATGCACTAAAGATGTAGAGGCACTACTTGTATGGCATTAATGTTGATATCTATACGGATCATAAGAGACTCTAGTATATCTTCAAGCAAAAGGGATTGAATTTACGTCAAAGGAGATGGTTGGAGCTACTTAAAGATTATGACATTGATATTTTATACCATCCGGGGAAGGCGAACGTGTTAGCCGACGCCCTCCGTCGTAGATCTATGGGTAGCCTATCATATTTACAGGCAAAAAAGAGGGGAATAGCCTTTGAGATTCATCAGCTAGCTAGTCTTGGAGTTCGGTTACTGGACTCAGGTGATTTTGGAATTACTATTCAGGATACGGCAACATCCTCTTTAGTAACTGAAGTGAAGGAATGCCAGTATGAGGATCCTGTGTTAGTTTATTATAAGGACACCACCCCTCAGAAGGAGAAGACATCATTTGAGATTACAAAAGATGGGGTCCTCAGATATCGAGGACGATTATGTGTCCCTAATGTTGCAGGGCTGCGTCAGCAGGTTATGGGAGAAACTCATTATTCTCGTTATTCTATCCATCCAGGAGAAACAAAGATGTATCATGATATCAGGGAAGTATATTGGTGGGACGGAATAAAAAAGGATATAGCGGAGTTTGTTGCTCAGTGCCCTAACTGTCAGCAGGTTAAGATTGAGCATCAAAAACCCAGTGGATTATTGCAGGCTTTGGAGATTCCGACTTGGAAATGGGAAGTAATCAATATGAATTTCATCGTAGGCTTACCTTGTACCCAACGTAAGTTCGATTCTATATGGGTTATTGTTGATAGGTGTTGATATCCAATTTTTCCCTATGTATTTTATATACTCAAAATATTCTCAAAATAGCATGTACATGCATATGTAAGCATGCCCAAGAGTTTTTGGTATTTTTTCCTTGTTTTTAAAGATNTCATTTCAATTTTCCTTAATAATTTCAGAAAAACAATTTTACTCAAAAATTCATTTCTCGGGCTTGGGACCTCGGAATTCGATTCCGGGCATACGCCCGAGTCCCATATTTTTTTACGGACCCTCCGGGACCGTCAAATCACGGGTCCGGGTCCGTTTACCCAAAATGTTGACCAGAGTCAAATTTATTCATTTTAATATCAAAACTTAGCATTTTTCACAGAATTTCATATTTAAGCTTTTCGGCTACGCGCCCGGACTGCGCACGCAAATCGAGGCAACCCTAAATGAGGTTTTCAAGGCCTCGGAAGCACAGAATGAATAAGAAGACAAGTGATGACCCTTTGGGTCGTCACAAAACAATTGGGAATATTCTTGGAGTTTGTATCTCAATTTTGAGCGTGTTTGGTGAAGATTAGACTTGATTTTGGCTGAATTTCATATTTATACTCGAAGAAGAATATACTTACATACATGACATACAATATACCTATGAAGTTGTATTAAAGTTGTATGTAAATTGTATTTAAGCTGTATTCTGTTGTAATTATATATTTTTTATTTATTTGAATGTTGTATGAAAGTTAAAAAATAGTTGTATAATGTATGAATCGTTGTATGAAATTTGTATTTAAGTTAGAAATAATATCTTTTTACATAAAGTTGTTGATATAATCAAAATTCTTTTAAGAGAGGAAGTTTTGATTGGAATTTCAGAGAGGAAAAAGAACGGACCACTTACAAAATATTTACAAATCATATACAAAAGACATATTGTATAAAATTTATATGAAAATTATATTTAAATTGTATGATATTGTAGTTTTATTTAACTGGGTAGAATAATGTATGAAAATTGTAGAGAACTTGTAAATAAGTTGTATACTATATAATTAGTTGCATGGAATTTATTTTTACTATGTATACTGTTGTAGATATTAAAATTTGCATTAAATGAATTGATTTTTAATTTGTATGTTGATGTACCATACATTATTCTTTTTCTCAATCGATTTATTAAGGAAAGAAAAGTAGAGAATAAATTCCAAATCGACTAATGTGCACATATTCATATTTGTTTGAATTGAAAAACTTGAATATTGATGGAAACTAAATGATTTTTGGGTGGAGAAATTTCGAGTTTCACATTAAAAGCGTCATCGTCGCACTTCAGAGAAACTGAGTTTTATGTGATATTTGAATTGTGTAAGAAATTAACTGTATTTATAGATTCTTGTTGGAAATACTAATACAAGTTGAATCCGAAGTTTGGAGGCGATTGAATTTAATTTGAAATCTGCTTAATCATGCTTTGTGATTCAACGCGATCAGTACTGTAATTTGACAATATTGTTAAGAAACTATTCAGTAAAACAGAGTAAAGCAATCGTAGAGATAGAAACGGGGATAAATTTGGTGACAATTGCGTTCAAAGCTATTGTCAAATTATAGCGTATCTTTTTTTTTTTTTTTGTAACTGAAGTTCCATTTGTTATGGCTTAAAATAGGTAATACACAACTGGAAGGGGTTTTATTAAAAGAGGACTGGAGAGAAAATAGAAAAAAGATGTAACTAAATCCCCCAATTTAAGGCACTAATAATGGATTGTATATAATTTATAAGTAATCTTTGTTTAAATCGTGTAATATACAAATTAGGATAATTTTGGTAAAGAAGTTTTAAATATTGTATAGAAAGGAAAAAATTCCAAAAATAAATAGGTGTCCTCTTGTAGGGCTCTGTCCACGAATGTTAAAGGATACTATAATAAAATAAAATGGACAGATTACAAAAAGTTAATTATTATTATTATTATTATTATTATTATTATTATTATTATTATTGACGTTTCTAATATTTGGAATAAAGAACTGGAGGGTGCCGATCTGGGATGGTGGTAAGTGGAAGTGATTATTCTTAAGCACGCGTACCGAGGGGAATGTTTGTGGGTCCCCCTTTTCTGACCAAAAAGTCAGAGCTTTTTTCCCCACCTAAGGCTCCGTTTGGTCATGAGTTTTATCAAAATAAATTTGGAATTTATTTTGAAAACTCATGTTTGGTCATAAATTTTGCTCATATTTTGGTCAAATCCTAAATCCCAAATCTCAAAATCAGCTATTGAGCTGATTTTGGGCCAAAATTCCAAAATTTGGGAATTATATACATGTTTTTCCAAAATAAGGTTGGAAAATATGTTTTGAAAACGTATGTCCAAACACATTTTTATCTTCAAACCAAATTTCACCCAAATTGGATTTTTCAAAATAAATTTGGGATCTATGGCCAAACGCTAGCTAAATTTATACTAAGTGAAAAATGAACCCTTTGTTTGTAAATATAATTAGCCAGCTCCCTTTCAGTGTGTTGAATATGCTAAGTTTATCACCGGGAGGGTGGTGAGATGAATATGATTCGTTTTTTTTTATTTTTAATTAGGTATTTCGCGTATGAGTTCTAAAATTAAAATAAGTTTGATCGAAATGCATTTTTTTATTTTAATGAATCTTACATGACACGAACTTGTATTAATCAAATCTTTAATACCACTCTCGAATATCGGATAGAAAATCAAAACCAGAATATGTTAAGTTGAAGGTGAGGAATGTGAAAAAGAAGAAACGAGGAAAGACGCAAAATTTCATTTAAAATGGACATTTTTTGTACCACAATTTACAACAAATTAACTTTCTCTTGTCTCAAAAAGATAGCAAAAAACATGCTGCATATACTTTTGTCACAATTTTATTGTGAGAAAAAAGACTAAACTTTATAATGAATATGCAGTACTAAAGAGGAGGAATCGGCGATGGATAAATTCTGTAGCTAAAAAGAAAAATTCGTCATTAATCCTATTTAGCAATTGATTAGCGATAAATTATTAAAAAAAATTGTTTGCTACGAACGATTTAATAATAAATTAGTAACGAAGATCATAGCTAATTTTCAGTTGTTTATAGTGATTTACGCACACAGGACTCAAACATGCATATTCACAGACACATAGTTGTTATTTGTATGCAAATAATTTCATATCTAGTTTACAGTGTTGAATCATGTTATTCAAGTTTCTCAAGTGAAAGCACAAGATGATGAAAATATAACACATCCACGTTATCTGTTGTTGTAGGTTAACTTAATGTAATAATAAAAACCAACAAGGGTTGCGGTGGAGTGGTAAGTACTCCTTCATCCTTAACCAAAGGTCTCGAGTTCGAGCCCCTGGGTATGGAGTCGCCTTTGTTAGGGAGCGCTTTACCCCCCCCCCCCCCTAATGTGGGACTTTCCGGCGCGAATCCGGATTTAGTCAGGCCCCAATGTGGATACCGGACACCGGATGGGAAACAAAAAAAATGTAATAATAAAAAAAACATTATCTTTACACATAACTTTAAATGATGATTTTCACAAACTCAATACAAACTTAGGTCAATATACAATTATACATAATGCATTACATGTTATTTTCTCCACCAGTTCACTGTAGTGAAGCCAATCTAAAATAAGCTTCAAACCTCCCACCCAACCATGACCAAAAGTTGAATTAAAGATATTAACTACATTGCAAAATAAAGAGATCTAGGAGATTAGATAACCCTTTAATCCTATGAGTTAGCTTTTCAAGGAATTAAATTTATCCCACCATTAAACACTAAATAAATAGCACAAAGATAAAAAAGAAAACCCCACAAAAATATAGAAAAAAATCCATGATAAATAATTTTATAGACTAAAAGGGCAGTCCGATGTACGAAGCATTCCGTGTTCATGCAAGGTCCGGGAAAAACCGTACCTCAAAGGGATGTAATATAAGCAGCCTATCATAATGCAAGCGTCGGTGGCTGATTTCCATTAATTACCAAGATCCTCCATTTCCTCCTAAAACTGCATTCCAATATCCATTTGATTCCCCATCTCTATTTTCCTCAGGACCATCAATACTTGTGTTTGAAACTTGCTTTAGATCTTCAAAAGGAAACAAAAGTCTTCCACTTGTTGTACTATCTTGCACATCTTGAAGATTATTTTCATAGTCACCACTAATTCCAAGGCCATAATCCAAAGAGAAATTTAGTGATGAATAAACTGAATTTGGATCAGAGATTGGCATTGGCATAAAAGAATTATTAGGTACTTGGATTAGCTCAGAGATATTCTTGAAATCACAAGAAAATCCCAAGTTGAGATCTTGACTCCCTTCCATCTTAGGAGGATTCAACACTGGAGCGACAATATTTTTGGAAAGTTCGCGCGACATAGAATTTGATGAAGAAGAATTAGTAGAAGATGATGATTTTTTGGATTTTCTTGAACCCCCACCAACAGGAATACTTCTAAGAGATCCACCTTCAGTCCAATATCTTTTACAAGTCTTGCAAAAATATCTTGGTTGAGAAAGACTATAGTTGTTGTAATAACAAAACTTTGTATTTTTTGAATTGCACCTTGGACAATTCAATGCTTGGTCCTTTTGATGAGGCTTGATTTTCCTTTCAATATGAGTACTAGGTTTTGATGAGCATATTGTAGTAATTGTGTTTGTATTTTTTGGTATTATCTCTTCCATGGGTTTCACCACTATCTCCTAAAAAAAAAGAAACAAAATGAAAGGAATGAAAAAGGAATTAATTTCAAAGGAGTAAATTAAAGGAGCATATAGAAGAGGAGATATTAAAATTGTTTCTTTGTGCAATTTATACTTTTAATTAAGTTACTAACAAACTTGATCTTTTTCTCTTTTTCAACCTTTTCACAATCACATAAAAGAACCATCAACCTTTATAAAAGTACAAAATTTCAATTTGTAGTCAAGAGAAAGTCCAAATTAAATGGAGATCAATGAAAAAAGAATATGAAGAAATGGCCAAAAATGAAAAAGAAAAAACAGATGGATATATTTGTAAAATTCGTAGTCTATACCTGTGGCCATTGAGCAGTATCCATTGATGAAGAAGGAGAGGAGCAACAAGCAGAAGGTATTTTATGCAAAAAGAAAAATAGCAGATTTTTGAGTGTTTTTAAATGAAGAAAAAGGAATGTTTGAGATGGTTTGTGGACAGTTCTATGTGCTAGCTTTTTGTGTATGTATATGGCTGTACTGTGTCTAGAGAATGTGAGAGTGTGTGTGTATGTGTGTATGTACTGTCTAATAGTAAATAAACAATTTCTTTTCTCTTATTCTATTGACTATAGTAGTTTATCATTTGTTAGTGGAGGAATATTTTTGAAGGAATATATGTCTTTTGCAGAATCAATTTTATATTCTTGTGGGAGGCCAATTTACTTCATTTGTGTCATTGTTTATTGTTTACCCTTATGAATATTGTTTCAGAAATATTAAGGGAAAGATTTGCGTATATACTATTCTCTCAGATCCTATTACGTATTATTATACTGGGTATGTTGTTACTAATGGCGAAGCGAGGAAAGTGTCCAATGGTGTTCAAACTTGAAAGAAGCAAAAAAAATCCCCGACAAAGAGTGTTTAATATGTGTTATATACTTTTAAAATTTAATAGTTTACTTATATACGCATTGAATTTTTCGACGAAGGGTAGTTATTTGACCACGTCATCAGAGTGTATCTTCGCCCCTGGTTGTTATTTTTGTTTCAGAAATAACTAAGTGCATAAAAAGTGGGTTCTTTTAAATATCTTAAACTTTTAGATAAAGTGATCACACCAACTTTACATGCTATTAAAATAGATAAAAGTTACGAATTTGAGTCTCACTTTCATCAATTATCGCAAAAAAATTCACATGCTTGGCTCATCAAGCAGAATAAAAAAGTATGCTTTTTCTAACCGTTTTTAGATAAGATGGTCACTCGTTACGAGGAATAAAGTTAGCAAAAAAACTTACATTCTTTTCAATTTTCAAAAATATTAGTTTTCTGTGGAAGAACTGTTGATGAACAGATTCAATGTCAAGGATCTACATGAGTTGTTATATATTCTGCTTGTACATATTTTGCAAAATCTTTTGATATTTCATACAAAGAGTATGAGTGCATATTATCATGTCTGCCTCATATAATCTAATGTGGGACATGTGACAAGCTCTCATCATCTCATGTTCAACAAAAATAAATTTTGGGTTAGCTAGCGTTTGGACATAGATTTGATTGAGACTTGAAAAAAAAGTTTTTTGAAGTTATGTTAAAAAATAATTTTTGAAAATAGTTGTGTTTGGACATGTATTTTGTTTGAATAAATGTTAAGGTTTTATGAGTGAAAGAAAAAATCTTCACCAAAAAACTGCTCTAAACTAGGTTTTGGGTATTTGATTTTTTTTGAATTTTTCCTTACTTCCAGTGTTTATAAGGTAAAAGAGATAGATATAATGTGACTAAAATGTTGAGAAACTTTCTTTCCTGTTCATATTAGATTTTCTTGAACTTTTCTTCCCACAAAAATTTGGTTTTCGACACCATTTATATAGGAAAAATGACACTGTATAATCACTGTAAAAATAATAGCCGAAAGAAATGTATAAATTTTACATTGTGTATGTTATATACAAAAATTATATAAATTTTATACACTTTTTCGGCTCCCACATATAAATAGTATCCGGTACGGACTAAAAGTGATAATATCCCATTTATATATTCTTTTAGTTTTAAAATTAATAACGTTTTACGCATATCAATCCAAGGAATATATGTTGATATCCTTCTTTCAAAGAACGAAGCTGGTTGCAAGTGTATTATTTTATCTTAATATAAATTAAATTAACACATTGTGAGTTCTGTTAACATGAGAAGAAAATAGAAGAGATGAGAAGGATCGAAGACTAGGCCTTACGCCATGTTTGCTAAGAACAGAAGCTTCGAGGGCATCGATTATTCTGTGTATCTCAAAATGACTCAAAGTCCCTTATTACATACATGGGCTTCACTATTTATAGTGACCCGAAAAATGAAGAAATACAATGAATGGGCCCCTAACTCCGAATTTGTACAGTTGGACCAAACGATAAATACAAAGAGTAAAAAATATACTAGGCTCAAAGTATTAACCAACATCTAATGTATCTAATTTGCTTATTCTAACAGCCTCCCTCAAGTTGGAGGGTGACAAAACTCCCAACTTGCGAGTGTGTATGTGATGAGCAGGACCAGGTAGAACCTTAGTAAGTATATCAGCAGTTTGAGAGGCACTAGGAGTGTGGACAAGAGAGATCAGCCCATCTCCAAGTTTGGCACGTACAAAATGACAATCCAATTCTATGTGCTTCGTCCTCTCATGAAAGATAGGATTTTTTGCAATATGAAGGGCAGCCTGGCTATCACAAAACAGGCACAGGAGTGGAAAGAAGTACACCAAAATTAGAAAACAACCTGGATAGCCAAGTAACTTCAACCACTGCTTACTCATAGATCTGTACTCAGCTTCTGCTGAGGAAAGAGAAACCACAGGCTGCTTCTTGGATTTCCAACCCACCAAACTTCCTCCAAGGAAGATGCAGAATCCAGTGACTGATCTCCTACTGTCAGGGCAGGAGGCCCAGTCACTATCACAGAAAACTTGTAAAGACATAGCAGAATCATTGTTGTAAAAGATCCCAGAATCAGCTGAACCCTTGAGATATTTGAGAAGATAAAGAGCAGCCTTCATGTGTGGTATGCAAGGCTGCTGCATGAACTGACTCAAATGCTGGATTGCAAAGCTGAGGTCAAGTCTTGTATGAGTCAAAAAATTCAGCTTTCCTATGAGACTTCTACACTCTTCAAGTTTAGGCAAAGGTTCACCTTCCTTGGCCTTCAACGACACATTTGATTCAAAGGGACATGTGACAGGAGTACATTCTAGAGAGTGAAACTCATCTAAAAGGTCAAGAATAAATTTCCTTTGATGCAGCAAAACCCCAGAAGAAGTATAGAGAACTTCAATACCAAGAAAGTAGTTAAGGAGACCTAAATCCTTGATCTTGAACTGATCATGGAGAAAGCCCTTCGGGGCAGAAACTTCTGTTAAGTCAGTACCAGTTAGAATAATGTCATCCACATAAACAGCCAATATAACCAAAGAATCCCCATAACCCTTAGTGAAGACAGAATAGCCATTGAGAGAATGCATGTAGCCTCTGGAAGAGAGCTTGGGACAGCTTAGCATACCATTGTCTAGAAGCTTGCCTCAACCCATAAAGGAATTTCTAGAGCTTGCAGACCAAATATGTCGAAGAAGATGTGGAAGCGGGAACAGATAATCCAGGAGGAAGCTTCATGAAAACCTCTTCATCAAGATCACCATGCAAAAAGGCATTATTGACATCAAGCTGGAACAAAGACCACTGCTGCTTGATAGCCACAACAATTAAGGTCTTAATAGTGGATATTTTTACAACAGGGGAGAATGTTTCATGAAAATCAACCCCTTCCACTTGAGTGTTACCCCTGACCACCAACCTAGCTTTGTACCTTTCTATACTACCATCAGCCTTGTATTTCACTTTATTAACCCATTTTCACCCAATAGGCTTCTTGCCATGTGGCAACTCAACAACTTCCTAGGTCCCATTGTCTTCCAAAGCCTCAAATTACTTTCTCATGGCATCTTGCCATTCAGGAATAGTGGCTGCCTGGGAATATGAATTTGGCTCTAGGATATGCAATTGACCAACAGAGGGGACTAAGATGGAGTCGGAGGATGAGGACTGACAAACATAGCTATTGAGATAGCTAGGAGGGTTATGTGGTCTAGAGGATCTTCTCAAAGTAGGTAATGGAGAAGAAGAAACAGGAACAGAATGATCAATAGGTAAAGAAACAGGAGGGGAAGAAACATGGGGAACATGAGGTGAAGTACTGGGAGTTGAAGTGGACTAGGATCAGAATGTAAAACAAGAGATGGAGGATCAATAGATGAAGAAGAAGCAGGTGAAAGGGAAGATGAAGTAGAAGGAGGAGCTGCAGAATAATCAGTATCAAAACAAGTAGATAGAGGAGAAGAAAGAAAGTGAGAAGGCTGATTAGAAGCCTTGAAGAATGGAAAAATGTGTTCTAAGAAAATGACATCTCTAAAGATGAAACAGGTTTTGGAAGTGAGACTATAGAGTTTATAACCTTTCTTAGAAAAGGGATAACCACAAATACACATGGGATAGATCTAGGAGAGAATTTGTCCTTGTGCGACTTAGTTATAGTAGAGTAACACAAACAACCAAAAGCTTTAAGATAAGAGTAAGAAGGAACAGAACCATATAACAACTCATAGGGACTTTTGTGATTAAGGAGAGGGGATGGAAACCTATTGATCAAGTAGGTTGTAGTTGACCCCAGAATCTAATGGGAAGATGAGATTGAAACAATAGAGCTTTGGCGGTTTCAAGCAAATATCTATGCTTCCTTTCCACCACTCCATTCTGTTGAAGAGTGTGTGGACAGGAAGTCTGATGTTGAATTCCTTTTTCAGTAAAGAAAATAGAACCTGAAGCAATAGAGCCCAATTCTAAGGCATTATCACTTCTGACAGCCTGAACCTTAGTATGGAATTGAGTTTCAAACATGGCAATGAGAGCCTTGAGTAAATCAAAAGCGTTACTCTTGGCTCCCATAAGATGTGTCCAAGTGGCCCTTGAGAAATCATCAACAATGGTCAAGAAATATTTGGAACCATTATAGGTAAGTATGTGATAAGGTCCCCAAGTATCTATGTGAATTAATTGGAATGAGTGAGTGGATTGTATACTACTATCAGGGAAAGGCAGTCTTGTTTGCCTGGCTAATGGACAGATAGGACAGCTAAAGGATTGTTTAAGAGGAAATTTACAATTTAAAGCAGATATAGTTTTCAGTTTAGAGAAAGGAATATGCCCAAGTCTGTAACCCCAAACAACTTCAGCTTTATTCATATTATCAATAGCTGATATGGTATTTACAGGTGAGCATTCATCAATTACACTAGCATGAACAGAAGAATTAGAAACTGAAACATTTGAAAGAGCAGAATGAGTAAGCGAAGAAAAATCTAGGTTAGGAGAAATGAGAGACTGAAACAACTGGTAGAGTCCATTGTCCAGCTTACCAAGTACCACTGGCTTCCTCACTGAAGGGCCCTGTAAAGTACAAGCAGCCTTGGTAAACTGTACCATGTCATCAGAATGAGAAAGTAATTTGTGGACAGAAATGAGATTATACTGAAAACTAGGAACATAAAGAACATTGTGCAATATCAATTAGGCAATAAAGCCAATGATCCAATATTGGTAACCTTGACTTTATAACCATTTGGAAGAGAGACAAGCTATGGAACAGGTAAAGTGTGGACACTAAAGAGTAAATTTTTTGTGGAAGTCATATGGTTAGTGTTGATACCCAATTTTTTCCTATGTATTTTATATACTCAAAATATTCTCAAAATAGCATGTACATGCATATGTAAGCATGCCCAAGAGTTTTTGGTATTTTTTTCTTATTTTTAAAGGTTTTAAAATCAAGTTGTTGTCTATTTTAATATAAAATTCAATAATTATTTCCAGGCTATCATTTTTGGGGAACAACTTATTTTTATTCTCATATTTACACTAAGATATAATAAAGGTGATTTTTGCATATTTTTACAAATCTATTTGATATTTCTTTTTAAACTACAATCGCATAAAATTGCAATCATAGCCTATATTATGATTAATGGTATTTTACAATTATAGAATTATTCCCAGTATTTTTAGATTAATTTTTATATATTATTAATTAGTTCGGTGCTTTTAATTCGTTTTTAAAATTATTTTAACTATTTTTATATAAATTAGAGGGGAGAAATTGGTTATTTAATACATAGCCATTTCCAATTGCAATTGTAGCCCCGATTTAACCCCAATTCCACCCCTAATCAAACGACCCAATTTCAAATTCCAACCCAAACCCACAACCCATTTTCAGACCCGCCCGGTCCACTCCTATTTTAATCTGAGCCGTTGATCAAATGAGATCAACGGCCCAGATTAAGTTACCTTAATTAAACCCTCACCTACCCCCCTCTCCCCTACTCATTCTTTCACGACTCATTCTCTCTCTATCTCTCGATCTCTCTCTGTGACTCTGTAGAAGTCTCCTTGACTTCTTCCCCTCCGATGAGTTCTGTCTATCTTCGCCGGTTGGTTTCTCAATGGAAACCTTGGTTCTTCATCATCTCTTGGTCATCTACTTACCTCTCATCGGTCCAGTGATACCCTGGGGTCCTCAGGCGAGCTCGGAACGGTTCTCTTGCCTCCCATTGTCCCATGCCACTTTCCGGCCTCCCCGGCCACCTGAGTAATGGTCTACAACCTGTTCCGGCTTAAGCCGATGCCATCCCTGAGGTTGTTCCTCTTCCCTGGGTTCCACGAAACCCTAACCCTATGTTCTTCAATTTATTTTAGATCTACTCTAGATCTACAGTATTACGAAGTTTCTCTACGTTTCTTTTCTCTGAAAAAGCCTCATCTTTAAACGATCGTTCAATTTTAAAATTAGGGTTTCTTAACCCCTTTTCAAGAAAATGGTTTTTACTTCTAGTTTAGTGATTTCTACTACATTTTGAACGATCCTCTAATGTTTTCATTGCTATATGAGTTACTAGGCTGGAAAGCCCTAATTCTTTCTAGCCTGTTTTGACTATGTGTGTTTGTTTCTTGTGTTCATGTATCCTCTGTGATTCTCGTTGTTAGGGGTCTTAATCCTCTACTGTTCTATGACCCCCTGTTTAGGGCTTCTCTGATTTGAGTGATATTTGATGATTATTAGGTTTGACTACTTCTTTATTTAAAGGCTTCATCGATTCTATGTATCTTTCCGCAAAACTGTGATATTTTTATTGGATATGTGCTTTTGTGTGTGTTGCCTACAATTATGTACTGCTTCCTTATTTGTGAGATGCTTTCCCTAATTAGCACTGATTTCTTGAGATTTTCAGTCTCATCCGTGGTACTTTGATTGATTTTTCAGAACTAGATTGAATTCTGCCTTATTTATGTGCAATATATATCTTCCTTGTTTAAAACATTCTGTATTTGGCCTTTACTATATGCCATATGAAGTTACTGCTTTAATTAGGTTAAAATCAGTCTATGAGTTGATTCCTTTTCCTTATTTAGCTATGATTGTACTGTTTGAACTTGATTCCCTAATTAGAGGAGTCTGTGTCTTTAATTGATGCTGATTGATTATTATTTCCATAATTATTTAAAACTAGTACTCCATACCTTATTTTTCTTACTCGTTTTCAGCATTATAAATACTCTATTCTCTTTTGCATAACACACGAAATATCACTAAGCCATACACAAACACATACACACAGAGCATACTAAGTTCTCTCTTACTCTCATACATATTCTCTTTGCTTCTCGTATTATTTACTGATCACTCAGTCGGCTGAAAGACAAGACTGAGTAATTACTGTTGCTCTCTTGCATCTGCATACTATTGTCCTGCTGCTCTCTTTCTTGTTCTGCATACTATTGCCCTGTTACTCTGCCTCTCTGTACCTTGTTGTTCTATTCTCACTCTTGACTGGTATGTTTCTAGTTTAAGTCTATAGTATTCCAAAACAACATGTTTCAGTTCATGTTAAGATTCTTGTTATTCCATTTGTGTTTTCACTTACGGTTCTATTTTTTACCTTGTAACTAGCATGTCTTTGTGATTTCCCTTTCCCTTTAGTCTAATATATCTCTTGCTTCCCCCTTGTGTGATCCACTATGACTTTGTTTGATTCCTATGAAGCTAGCATACTTGTTTTGTCCATGTGCTTATCTTTCCTCTTATCTTAGCATGACCAATATTTTCTTATGTGTTTTCATCCTCTGCCTAAAATCTACCCATACAAACTTGTACCCCCTCCACCTAAGTGTTATATGATCTAATGTGTGACTCTGTCTGACACTTAATGCTGTTGGACTTTGGCATGAACACTATGCGATAACTATGCTGTAACTTTAGTTCAATGGCTAATTGTGTATATGTTTACTTCTGCCATGTGATTTAACTGTCCCCCAGTCCCCATCCCTACTTGTTTGCTTCCTGAACTCTGCATATCTTCTGAGTTGTGGTTGTCCTGTTTCTTTCCTTTCTTGTTTTTTTATAAAACAAACTCCC